ACTAATAAAATAAAAATGAACAAAATAAATGTTTATTAAGCAATTTTGATAGGAAATTGCTTAATTTTAGAAATGTTTTTGCTCTTTTTTGCTCTATAAAATAGTTGTTTTTTTTAGAATCATTCATCTTAGCAGTGGGATTTACATGAAAAGAGAAACAAATTAAGTTTGAGTGAAAATGTAAATTCTTTGCACTCTCTGGTCGACTGACTCAGTGAATCAAATGACTCAAAAAACCCGATTCACTTTGGTGAGTGACTCATTAAAACTCGATTCAGTAAAAAGAATCAAATTTACCATCACTAATAAACAAAAAACTGAAGCTCAATCACAAAACCCAAGAAAATAACCTGGAAAATAACTTTTGGGAACCAGACATCATTATCTTACTCTTTAAAAAATACAAGTCAAGACAAAAACCCAAAACATGACGGTGTGTCTGAGGGAAATAGTATGGCGTTATTTACACAAGGACTACTAATGGCACTGAGAGGAACAAGACTTGAGGTTTATGACAGTTAATTTTGCAGACCTGATCCCTGTCTTCAAAGTGACCATTTCAAAGGCAACAAGATCACAAGCGCAATAAATTTGGTCATGCTGGAGTCGCCAACCGTTGTTTTTGTTTGCAGTACATATTTCGCTTGGACTTGCAGTCGTAATCTCTCTCTGCCTGATCAGCTCTTTACCCTTAAGTGGCCTTAAAGCAATTGATGTAACTAGTTGAGGAGCCTAGTGTAGAGTTGACCAATGTCGGTAAGCCCTGTCACCCATTTAAAAAGCCTGATAGTTATTACATATACAGTAACAGAAATTTGAACAAGGTTTCCTTACAGCTGCTGTGCTCACTGTTTATGTTCTGTTAATAAAAAGTATATCTTTAGATTTTAGTAATAACATTTTAATTTAAAAAAAGACATTAAAATTGGCAAAAGTACACGTCACACTTAGTTTAGCTTTCTGTCTGCACCTCATATGCTCTGCAAATGCAGTTTCCTGTCAGCCTGTGACCTAGTTTACACTCAAAGCTGGCCCTCTCTTATACATAAAACAATATAATAAGAAAATAAGCACTAAGAATATATATTTAAATCCCAACACAATACTATACTGGTGTGGTAGCCAATGTTTGCAGGTTTGACAGGTTTGTGAGTGTATACTTTATCCAAAACCTAGTGATGGTATACTCATGTTTACCACTGGGTGGCTAGCTCAGGAGGTAGAGCAGGTCACCTATTGATCTGAAGGTCAGTGGTTTGATCCCTGGCTCCTCCAATCTGCCTGTCAAGAGTGTGAATGTGCTTAATGTAGTTAGGAAGCACTCAGTTCACAGAAAGTGTGTGAATGTGACATGTTGTAGAGCACGGCGATATGACCAAAAATATTTATCACGATATACATTTGAAAATTTGCGATAACGATATAACTGACGATATAATTGACACTAGACAAAATACTTTACAACTCCATAACTTTATTGGTGCAAAACAAACAAACAAACAAAAAACCCCATCAATGTATTTTCACTTAAACAAACAGCTGTTTTTTATGTGCATTAAAGTTATATAAAAATTTAACAGTGCAAATGCAAATTCCTTGCTGACAGTTTAACCAAAAGGCATTTCCAGTGGAAATTTGCC